CGCGATAATGATAATTATATCACAAATATGACACATATTAAAAAAATTTTTATAATAAGTTATTAATAAAAAATATTAACTTGATTTCGTTTTGTTGATCAATTTTATTTAGGACCAATCATTTCTTCAGGTTTCACCCATTCATCAAATTGTTCTGGACTTATACCATTTTTCTCTGCTGATTCTTTTAACGTGATATTTTCTGCATGAGCTTGCTTTGCAATTTTAGCGGACTGTATTAAGACATAATTTTATGTATTAATCACAATAAAAGCATAATAAATTAATTCTAATCTAATAAATAAATTGAAAAATTATAATACCTTATCATAACCAATATGTGGATTTAAAGCAGTGACAAGCATTAAACTCTCATTTAAGAGTTTTTTAATACGTTCTTCATTTGCTTTAAGACCAACAATACAATTCTTTGTAAATGATGCAGAGGCATCGCCTAATAATCTTGCAGATCTTAAAGCATTTGAAATCATTACAGGTATAAATACATTCAATTCAAAATGACCATTGCTTCCAGCAACAGTGATAGCAGTATGATTACCCATTACTTGACAACAAACCATAGACAATGCTTCACATTGCGTCGGATTAACTTTACCAGGCATTATAGAACTTCCTGGCTCATTTTCAGGAAGAGATAATTCTCCTAAACCACAGCGAGGCCCACTTCCCAAAAATCGAATATCATTAGCTATCTATATAAAAATTTTATATAATGTAAAATAAATTATTTAAAATTTTTTTAAAATTAAATATTATCTTAATGTACTTTCATAAGTGAAACTGCTACTGTATTAAATGCTCCATGTGTTTCTACTATGGTATCTCTAGATGCTAAAGCTTCAAACTTATTAGCAACAGGTACAAATGGTAAACCAGTAATATCTGCAATCTTTGCAATTGCTTTCTCTGCAAAACCTTTTGGTGCGTTTAATCCTGTTCCTACTGCAGTACCACCAAGTGCTAATTGATATAATCTTGGAAGAGTATCTTTCACTCTTTGAATACCATTACAAATTTGTTGTGCATAACCTATTTTTAAATTTTTATTATTAAAATTGATAATTTTATAACAAA